CTGCACGCTGACACCGCGCGCGCGAGCGCAACCCATTTGTAACGTCGCGTCCGCAGCGGAGAAAATAGACAAAGAAAAAAGACGCGCGGGGAAGAGGAGGGGTGGTGGTGGGGGTGGGGGGTAAACGGGGAAAAAAAAATGGGAAAAATGTAACACCGTCGACGAAACCGCGCATTGTGTACCCCGGAAATACACCGCAACATTCCCACGGATGTCCGAATAATATAAATTGCTCTCGGCGTGTACGCCTAATATCATTGTGTACGGCATACGTACGCATAGATGTAATGCGGGTACGTACCTATGATAATAACAGAGAGGGATGATTGTCCGGGGCTACTCGTCACCGTTTCGGCTTTGTTGCCGGTAAACCGGAATGGATCGGAAATCATTTATTATCATCTAAGCCGCAAGTCGCATATTGTTATCATACGTCACGTGGGTCGCAGTATGGGTATTGGTTAGGTAGAGCTACACACACACACACACACACACGTCGCGCACGTGAACGTGAACAATTGAAATTATTCAACTCGATTCCCCGGACGGTTTTTTACTATTTCGCAGGCCTTTTACCTGACCCGCCCCGGGTACGTACCGTATAGTGTCGCCGAGTAAAAATTTAAAAAAAAACCATCTCCACTCCGTGATACCGGAATCGTCGCGCTTCAAATATAAAACAATCGTTTCAAATATCACGTTGAAAATACACCGCATTTTATTTGTGATTTTTTTTTTTAAAACGTTAAAACACGCGGTTTGGATTATAAAATTACACTGTACATTATTTTATTGTATTTTTTTGTGTAGAAATTTGTTCATAAAAATACAATATCACAAGTTGGCTTGTATAGTACGACCTTAATGGTATTTTTATTTTTTTTTTTAAACGATAACATTTTATTTAGAAAATTTACTTGTGAAATATCACTACTTGGATTATACATTTATGGACGAATTTCATGTTAACAGTGTCATTTTTCTATCTTCTTAATATTGTACTATTACCTCGTGGACCTAATGTGTATCGATTAAATTTTAGTTGAAAAGTCGTTTTAAGTGACCATGGTTCTACAAGAACCACGGTTGATAATTTTTTATATTATTAATTTTAGTAGTAAATCGCTAGATTCTCTTGGAAAACAATAGATTTTGGCGGAAACGGGAATCGTACCATTTTCGTTTTTGGCGAAAAAGTGCTATGCCCATCTCGATAGATAGACAAATTCTTGTCTCATAAATAACAGGCGATGTCGTGATATCATCACTCTAAGTCGGTAAAATATTTAGCATTTTCAGAAGATATGGCAAATGATTCGATTGATAATATCGTTTTCATTTTCGTATTATTTTTTTTTTTTTTTTTTTATCAAATGAACGAAACAAACATTGTGTATATTACCGCTATCTACACTACAGTCATAATACTTCCGAACGAATTTCGAAACTCGAACACGGGGAGACTATTGAAATTTGAAATCCCCGAAAGTGCGATATCTGTAACACTTTTATTCTAGAGGTTATATGTGACCGATAGCCACCGGCAACAAACAGCATTGTTATCGTGACTATTAATGACAAGAAACGCAATGATATTATATCAATATCGATAGTGAATAATATTCCGTTAAACGTTTTAAAAGAAAAACGACCAACGGAGTACGGTGTAACGGCCGTCCTGAACGATTTAGTTTCGGCGCTTATCAGATTTCGCCACAACGGTACAGATTTTTCGTGCGTTTTAATCCATAGATCGCTTATCGGTTGTACCGATGCGTTAATCATTAATATTTAACCTATTATTCAACGCTATATTTTATTTAACCGTTTTCGAATGAGTGAGAACCACCGACTTGAGTATTCAAGGGGCGAGTATAGGCAATTATTACGCCGTTTTACGTGTATTCGACCGGAAAAAAAAAAAAAAAATCAAAATCGATCGATACGATAATAATATAAAACAAAATATCAAACGGATTTACTAGTAGTTCCGTGTCATTGGTAATATTGTCACGAGTATTTTTCGGGCGCCCAATCAATAATCGTGAAACAAACTGATAATATGTTACTAATAATAAGCCGCCAACCGGCTTGTTTCGTGAGGACAAGTACTATCACACAGACAGTCAAGCAATAAACTTAATAATTAAGAAAACAAATTTTCACCACAGAAAGTGAAGAACAATTACTGCCACAGTGCAACGTTGTTTTTAAAGTTGGGTAAGGTTAAAGAAGTAAAAAGTAGGAAAAAGCGGTACGGAAAAAATATTAGTAACTATGGTAGGTGTTAGTTTTCCGGTCTAGTATTCGATTATTCGTAAATGTATTGAAACAAAAGTATTTCAATACTTTTTTTGTAATTCGATACTACGGCTTTGATTACTTGCCGGAAAAAAATACGTCAGTGGCGTAGACATCAATCAGGCATGGTAGGCCCTGCAGGTCTATCCACTTTTCTCCGAAGTTTACACATTTTTAAAATCAAAACTTTGTATTAAATACATATTTAATAGTCTTTCCCCGTCCAAACATTCATATTATTTTATCCGACCTAGTTGTACCCAAACAAGTATTTCAGACTACGTCTCTGGTCAAAGTTACCGAGATGATGTTCTTGTCTTTAAGTTTGATAACGATGATAATTTTACAACAATCCACTCAAATATTAAAACTAACAGCGCATTATTGTCCTTGCTAAACGCAAATATATCATGTCGTGGTACGCGTTTGTAAGACCGAGAAGATACACATACGGATCACGCCCTCTCAAGAAAACGCACCGAAACCGATAACATGTTTCTCGATTTGTTGAAAAATGGAAATCGTTGTCAATTATATCAATAGCTGCGGTTAACAAATAACTATAAACCACCCATCATAGACCATAGTTCGTGGCATCAATAATATTTCACATCATTCATTTTTTCTTATGTAGGTGTATCAGTAATAAATAAATACTGTCAAGGGTGGGGGGAGTGGTGTTACACCCACAAAAAACCCCTCGCTACGCCTCTGAGACTTGTCTTCTTTGCCCGAGCAAAACGTCACGGTTTTTGTAAATTACAAGGTATTTAAACTCTTAACCGCGGCAAAGCATTTGGTGGCGCTATCTGACGGTGTTCGTATGAAACACAAACGGTATCTTACATGTTTAGACTCAGAGCAATTTGTTTTACAATAATGTGTATTTTTTCTCCTACTGTAAACAGTTTTTCGAAAATAAATCTTGCTCTGATGTGTCTATAGAGAGGTCATTTTTTTAATTTTCAAAATAATTGGCAAAAATCGTAAAGAAAATTACAGGTAGATGAAACGCAAATATTTACGGCGCACCGTTGCATTACCAAATTAATTGTTTTTAGTTTTTGCAAACTATGTTTTCTACCAGAAATATTGTTCCAATAGAAAAACAACAAGATATATTTTTTGTTGAGTTTTTAATCTAGTTGGTGAGTGTGAAAGTTTATTTTTGATTTTTCACGGAGTTTTTTTAATAATTGAGCAAAACCGTAAAAACCATAGAAAGAACTGGATAATTCACGAAAATAATTATTTTATTATTGTGGACAACTTTTCCAAAAGACTTGCTCCGATTTTTACGTGTAGCAACCTTTCTCAAAGGAAATCGGCGTGGGGAGGTACCATAAAGAGAAGTAACTTTTTTTAAGTTTTCTTACCAAATTTGAAAAACCGAAAATAAAAACGGGAAAATATAAGAAATGTAGTTATTAGTAAGAATATATTACAGCCTTCTTTTTTTTCTGTGCACAACTTTTCTACCAGCAATTTGCTTCAACTTTTAATGATAGCAACGTTTCTAAAAAAAAATTTTACTGGGAAGGTACTTTAAAGAGGTCATTTTTCGATTTTCCCATTTTTCCCAGCAAATGTGAAAAAACGTGATAAAACATGGGAGAATCGGGCCAAATGTACGAAAACTGCGAAAATTGGTACAACATTAAACGAATAATATTGAAAAAAAATACATAAAACCTATGTAATTATTTTTTACTATTAAATGACATATATATTGTTTACAAACCATCACTATCAACTGAGCTCCGCTCAGAATCGTTATTTGGTAAGCAATGGTTTATTGTTGCTTACAGGTATACATTAAACTATTTATAACGGTGGCTGAACTCAGCCTCATTATCCTAGGACGTCTTTTTAAATTATATTTTCAGAAGTATTAAATAATATGATTACTGAAATTGTGATTATAGGAAATCATACATTTAATATAGTAGAACAAGTGAAATTTTAAGATATTATTTATAGAGAAAATAAATAGGTAAAATATCTACAACAGCAATAAATATAAAAGAATCATTAAAAAATAAATTGATTCCAACAGCTGTAAAATAGTTATGTCAGTACTGATAGTTGGTCTGTTTACAGAAGGTAAATTTAAAAACATAATGAAATTTTACATTTGAAATTTCACACAATCTTTAAGTCTGTATTCTATAATGTGATTTAAATTATTTAAATTTTTCATTTAAAATAAATAAATCAAAATACAAAGTAACGGTTGATAAACGTATTATTACTGAGATAATATGATAAATTACTAAGTGACTTTCAAATATGTAATGGGAGCTACCCGTTTCCACCAATACTGAACCTTTCCCTTTTCCGCCATATCATAAAATTGGTTGATTCCCTTTTCCCGCAAATGGAAACATTTAGTCTAATATTTGAATATTAATGAACGACATCATAAATTATTATTATTATTGTATTATAAAAAATATTACAAAATGTTCACAAAAAATATTAAAAATTGATGTACAGAGGTGAATAAATTAAAAATATAAACGTCATATTGTTCATTATAACTTACAATAATTATAAGATATTATTATGGCGGAAAAATAATAATAAAAATAAGTTAATATTTATACAATAATAAAAAAAGTGATTATATTTTTGATATTTTTTGTGTAAAAAATTGTGGTAAGACAATCGTTATGAGTTATAACAACTATTTTTACCTTGTATTCAATAAATTATATACACAATTTTTATCATACATAAATAGAAAAAACTTGATTATTTTTTTGTCTAATTAATAATTGTAATGTATACAATTGTCCATTAATATTCAAATATTATAGACTAAATTTGTTTATTTGGCGGAAAAGAAAAAGGTACGATTTTGGCGGAAACCGGCCATGCCCTATTCAATAGGGGTTGATTTCAATAGCTATAAATCTTCTCTAGGTAATGTGGAACATTTTGCGAAAAACCGCGTTAAACTCGCTCCAGTTTTTTTCAAACAACGGCGAGACCAAGGGAAATAGGGATCCATTTTTATATATAGATTTATCATATAAAAGCCTTTAGTTTAAAAATGTATTTACCTTGAACAATTACAGTTATACTTATTTTAAGTCATAAAATCCTGTTTCTCATATGCAGCACAGTCTAATAACACATATGGGTAATTGAAAAACTACAACGAAGCAAAATAATCCTATGTCTAAATTAACTAACAACACTACTGTAGTTATTCGCTCTCCGAGTCTTCCCAGCTCGATTCAAGAACCCATAGCCCTAGCTTCGGCCTCTCTGATCCTTTCATTCTGTTCCTTATGGCACAGGATGTCCTCCACCATTTACAATATAAGACCTAACCTAGGTAAGTCACATATTCGTATTATTATTCCGTTTTAATTATTAAGTAATAATTAATAAGTAAGTATACCTTATACTTATAGAATAAATTGTCTATATTTAGAAAATATTTATAAATTTTCTGGGGGTGGGTGGGTAGGTTGTTAGGTGACTCGACATACATATAATTATAGGATTCGGTGCCACTAGAGGTATACATAAGGGGTAGCCAAACTTTTTGTGGTAGAGATCTATACTAAAAATATATTTTTCCTTTGAGGATCAATTTCCTAACAAAAATGTATAATAAATTACCTAATAGGCATTAAAAACAAACATACAGGTATAATTAATAATAAAACTAAAATGTATAGTTAAAATAATGTTTTTTGTTACACTTTTATTAAGACTGGTAAAATATTTTAAATATAATCGTTAGTATAAACGCTGTAGAATTATACTGTTTGATAAATTGATAACAAAATAATGACGTATATAGATAAAAATGATAAGTAATTTCGAGATCGACATTTAAACAGTCCCCAATCTACTTTTCAACTGTCAACAGTTTGGCCACCTCTGATATAATATATTATGGTGCTATTATGTATAATTTGTATTTACTACGTTTAGTCCCCTCCTACTATTGAAAAATTCTGGGCAATGAATGATTCAGTTTTAATTGTATCTAATTAAAGTTGACACGTTTTCTGGAATAAAAATATAAACGAATATTTCAATTTTAGCAAAGCTCACAAAAGAAACATAAATCAATAACGATATACCTAATAACTATATCAAAAAAATGTTTTTGGTGAAAAGAAAAATAACTTCTTATACATCATTGTAAATAAAATAACTAAAAGTTAATTTATTTTAATTTTAGTGAATACATAAAATAAGTTTATCATTTTGAAAATTTAAAACCATTATAAAATGAGTACATTCTTCTTTATGTTATGTTAATTAACAAAGAGTATGGAAAATAAATTATATTTGATTATGTTTTTTATAAAATTATTGTCTACACGAAAAAAATAAATATTTTGTTGTGATGTTTAATGCCAGAAGATATTATTCATATTTAAAGAGGATACAAGATGCCATTAGCAACTTTAACTTTTTCTTCAGTACCAAGTAACACTTCTGAAAGGCTTAATCCAAATTCAACAGCTGTTGCTGGTCCACGGCTTGTCACAAGATTTCCTTAAAAATATAATAATTGTATTAATTTAAAATGGACAAAATCTAAAAACAATTTCAAGTTATATTATTATTTATATCTCAAATTTTAAATATTAAACATTATAGATATTGCATGAATATAATACCACACTTAACAAATAGCTAAGAAAAATAATTAAATTTAAATAAATAAAAGTTAGGGAATTCATTTTGGCACTAATTTGGAAATAAAAGCACTTTACCACGTCACCCATAGTTTTAAAATTTGTTTTGTTTTGTTTTTTTTTTTAAAGACGGGTTTTTCTGTATACAGGATCAAATGTATTTTAACCATAAATAGATGCCCTTATTAAATCAATCAATATGACCTATTTATAAAAAAGAATACATTAATAATCATTGTAATTCTTCTTATGTTGAGTAATGTACATTACATTACTATGTAGTATACATCTCAATAGTTAGAGTTACAAACAAAACCGTATAATTGAGGGACTGAGCATAACAGTGGCCTAACCCACCAAAATTCATAAACTGAGATAATTATATAATCTTGTTTAGAATATTCTAATGCAACACCGGCCTGTTTTTGTTTTAATTTCAACACTAGATGGCAGTACTATATAACTATGCAACAATCTGTGTATGGGTGTGGGATAGGCCACTGCTATCATATTATTTTAAAATAATATTATAACAAAAAAAAGAAAGATAAATTGCAATAACATCTTTTATTTTTAATAAAGGTTTAAATTTTTTAATATTTTCAATTTCAATATTTGATTTAAGAAACGTGTTTTTGGTAAACAACTATGGAAAAAATGACCTATTCCAACAAAAATTTGGAGAATTTTGTATGAATTGTTCCAAAATAACTCTTAAATGTATCAATATTTAATAATAAACAATAGTTTATACATTTATTTTGTTTTTTAATATTGATTTTTTTGATCAAATTTTTAAAGAAATTAAAAAGCTGTATTACTCCTATTAACCATTTAATGGAATAAGCCACTGTTGTGCTCATCCCCTCAATTTAAGTTTTTAAAGTTCATTGTAGAGGACTTTTTTAAACTTAAATTCTATAAACAAATACCATTGATAACCTATGTTATTTTATCATTTTTTTAATAAAATCATAAACTACCTGACACAAAGAGCATAACAAATAAGTTAGTAAATATTTAATTTTTACCGTCAACCACAGTACTATCTTCTTTGTACTGATAAAATTCCTCAATAGAGTTCTTCACTGTTGGGTAAGATGTCAATGATTTTCCTTTTGCGATTCCATGTTTGAATAACACAAATGGCGCTAGAAAAAACCGTTTCAAAAAAACACTTATATAATGCTATATAAGCATTATAATATACTCAGCACACAGTTAAGGTATAATACTTGAAAGTATTTATGTAAAAATAATCTTACCGGCACAAATAGCTCCAATAATTTTTCCTGATTTTTCATGGGCTTGCAGAATTTCTCCAACTATGTTAGCCTGAAATAAAATTTTAACAATGTTTATAACTATTAAAAATATGAATGACTTACAATTGATCAACAAACAAATTTTATTTTGAAACAATTATAAATACAAATAATTTTATGTAATTTAATTTGTGATTTAAAACAATGACAATCTTATACCATAATTGAATGAGATCATAAGTATAACATCAAAACTTACTTCAGCTAAAGTTTTGTATGATGGGCCTCCAGGTATGACAACAGCATCGAAAAGGGTATTTTTTACATCTCCCAATTTAGCATCAGTTTTAATCAAAAGGTTAGATTTAGTCTTGACATAGTCTGAATCAGCCAAGTCAGCAATGGTAACAATTACCTATTTGAATAACAATATTATTAACATTGATTAAGTATCATTAGTTCTTACATTAATTAAATAGTGTGCATACATAATATTTGCACATAATTTGTTTTTTATTTAGAAAAACACAATCTATATGTATTTTAGATTTTGAACGAGGAATGTATTGGTTTAAAAATGATGTTTATTTTTTCTATTTTTCCTAGCATACATTTTGCTCTGATTTTCAAATATGACACTTTTTATAAAAGGAAATTTAAGTGGGGTGGTACTTTAGAAAGGTCACCTTATGATTTACTCAGGGGTTTTCATAGAAATGGGAAAATTTACGAAATTTATTATTTTTAAATCATAAATATTATGGCATTTCAAAACATGTGAAATCGTACTCCGCTCAGAACCGTTTTTTGTTAACAATGATCAATCATTGCACACAGATAAACATTAAATTACCCCTTTATCTTTCCAACTTCACTCCAACAATAGTAGCCCACTCATTGTGCAAAGTATGTCAGTTTTGTTTTTACAATATGAATTTGTTACATAGGTTATATAAAAAAAATTCAGTGACAATTTTAAATTAATATTAAATTAGATCTCTATACCATTGACTTTTTAGGTGACAGGAAATGTAAAAGTGGACAGTTCCTTAATTAGGGTGTTCGGATGGTCAGAATGAATGTTGTGAACATTTATACAGCGAACTATGGCAGTTTGTTTAACAGTGGGAATATTTAAGTTCTTATGGATAGTTTCATTTGAAGATGCATAGAGGATAAATAAAAATGTGATCTTGGATTAAACAGTAAGGTGGATCAAAAAAAAAATTTGTTTTTTTCACAAGCCTACTTTATATTTTAATTCTACAAGTTTAACAATACCATTAAATCTTATTTTACAGGGGAAAAAAATTCATTTCACGAGCGAGCAATGATTTTAAACAAATAACACAATTAGTATGTAATTTTTTTTAACAGTTTAAATTACTGCTGAACAAAAAGTAGCATACAAATAAAAAATTAGAATGTATTTAGGAACAATTAAAGTCTTAATGTTAATAAGAAAATTAATACTGAAAATGTTAAAAGCCTCTGAATACAAACAATTACATAAAAACAATTTTTTTTTAGGATAATTTCAAGTGATAATTTATCAAGTTAGGATTTTATTTATATTTAATATTTTTATTGTACTCCAGAGTTAAGTTCTGTGTGTTCACATACGATTTATTAGAGATTTAATTTATAAATTAATAATATGTGTATAAGCTAGTTGTTGCATGTTTTTTTCTGAAACATCTATCATTTAATGGAATTGCGTGGGAAGTTTAGTTTTAAAATAGCTTTAAGTTATTTATGTTTTAGCTTCTGGAAAAAAAAACAACTTCATTGATCTCCAGTCCAGAGGAAAAAAAGTTAAAATATCTTGTAATTTGGTAACTCAGCTAAATAAATTATTCACAATCAAAATTTCGACTGTTTTTATTACTTTTAATGACATCTTGTGGTTTTTTGGTATACGAAAAAAAAATGTCAAAATATTGAAAAATGAGGTTTTTCATGTTTATATAGCTACACAAAACAACAATCAGCAGTTAGATTTTCAATCTTCTTACTGTCAGACTATTTCCATGATGATTTTTAGGAACCTATAGGAAATAAAATATCAAAAATGGTTTGTAAAACTTTTGTTAGTATACCAGATACTTACCCTAATGGAATTAAGTATAAATAAATAGTAATCAGATTTTCTATTATTCTAACCAATTATAGATAAATACCATGATAATTTATATGATATTAGACGGAAAATGGGACACATGTATGAGGGCAATAATATGAACAATTTATTACTATACTAAATTATTCATCAATGATAAGAGCGAACTTAAAAATAGACTCCCTGATCCAAAATCAAAATATCAACGGTTTAAACGGGTATAAGATTATGGGGTATAACACACATCATTTTAGACATGTCAATTAAATCATGGTAAATATGTGACATACATAATTATAAATACAAATTAAAATTATGGTAAACATTACATTAGCGCGTCGAAGAATGTCAACGGGTGCAACTAATTCCAGTTCTTCAGAACCTTCTGCCACAATGAATAATGCGGTTTTAGCAGCCATTGCAGAACAGACTGTTGTGAAGTATTTGACGTAAGAATCGTTCAGTTGAACAAATCGTTTGTAACCTCCGATAGAGCTGTAATGAAAACAATTCGGTTTAGAAAATTTAAACAGTTTGTAAATCATCGATGGAGCACTAATGAGACCGTACAGCCAACAAACAAAATAAAAAATACCAACAGGGACGATAGAGTGATAATCGGTGATTTAAAGCACACTGAGTTGAGCTTGAACCAGTAGCATAAAGCAATCAATGTCAAGTTCAAAGTTGAGAAAAAGACACAGAACTACAAAACTGTAGGCCGTCGAGGAACTTGAAAAATTTAATTGTCAGTGTTATCTTAATCCCACCATTACCCAAGGTGTTATCACTGAATTATATGGCTACCTACGTCACGAGACCATAAATGCAACAGATCCGGTGTGGTTTTTTTTGCTGTTGCGGTGTTGTTTTTTAGTGCTAGACAAAAGAAATAAACTACGAAATCGTTGTAAAACTAATTTATTCGTCGGCTTGTTTTAAAATCTAAAACGAAGCTCTCAAATATGACTATTTTGATTTAATCATCAAGTTGAAAAAAAAAGTACACAGTTAGTTTTTTAAAAAAAATTAAAATAAATAATAATATTTTATTTAAATATAATTTAAGAACAATATTATAGTGACGAAGCCGAATTCATCGAGAATTTTGCATAATTCTCTTTTTGAGAAAAAAAAAAATAAATACCCTTTTATTTTATAATAGGACTCTATGAAACTTATTACAGATAATTAATTTAAGTTATTAATTGTTATAAATTATAATATATAGGTAGGTAATAGGTAAGTTTTAATAACACTTAATATATTAGAATAATAATCTGTAAGTATGCTGTATGTCTGTATACCTACCTACATTGCATAAACTTTATAAATAGTTAAATGTTTATAATATATGTAATATTACAAATTCATGCATAAAACATTAAAATTGATAGACTTTAATACAATGTTTTAATTCGAAACGGTAAACTGTCACAATCGAAAAATGTTTCTACGTGAAGCCCAACATTTAATAATTTGAATACACTATTTTCGTTGTTTTTTTTTTTTAATTCTTTAAGATTAGTAGAAAATCAAACTTGGGATTGCACAGTTTTTCTATACCTAGATACTGAATTTGTAGTTCATGTTTCAATATTAAAATTCACTAAGAATTCATACAGATATCAAAGTTTCTGAATGAAACTCTGAACGTAATACTATATTGTCTGCTCTAAAAAAGGTTTTCAAGAAAAAAAAAAAATTTTCATTAAAAATAAAAGCTAGTTGTTAAAAAAATGTATTTTTGTAAATTATAATTAAATAAACAATGTGCTACTGAATATTAACTATAAGGCTCGGACTTATCAATTACCATCGACGATCGACGTAAATATGGAATAAATCGAATATTAAATAAATGCCTGAAACAGCATCGCACTAGTAAAAAAAACACCGGATCTGTGTCATTTACAGGTTTGTTTGCTATTTCTATCTATAGTAACAACTTATTTGTGATTTGTCCAAGTTTAATGCCGGGACGCCGAGTTACGTGAAAACAGTCCCTTTTAATTCGGCTGTATTTAATTATTTAATTAATAGATAATCATATTTTTTTTTTTTGGTTTTTGTAATTTGTACTACTTAAAAAACCATTTTTTGAATAAACAACCGACTTGAAGGCGAATTTTTTAGTCATAATCGATGTAGGTACCTATAAACTTATCGGTAGAGAGCGTTGAAAGAATTGATAAATGTATTGTGATTTGTTTTGCTTGAAGTCAAACAAGATCTCTTTTTATCCATAATAATTAATTGCAGATTCCATTGAAAATTTTAAAATTAAATAATATAATTAAGAACGTGTTAAGTTAATTGATGGTGTTGCAATATTTAAAAATAAAATCCTTATTTCTTTACTCTTTGACTTTGAACGATAACCGTCATCGTCAACCAATCGCGGTCGTTTGTCAAGGGCAAATGATAAGAAATTAATCGATTTTAAACATTCAACTCGAGGAGCGATATTATTCATCGAATTTGGTCTCACTTTTTGCCGACGACTAGACTCTGACGGTTCTAAATTCATTTTCAATACCTAATCGTTTTACTTCGCTGTCTTTGAAATTTTAACCGTTTCACGAATACCTACCATTACAATGGCTTTAAACAAACTGAGCATAAAAAGTTTAGAAATCGCGAACAAACGAGTATTGATCAGGTAAATATAATTTGTATAGCTGCTTTAAAAACAAGGCGTAAACCTTTAGAGGTGAGACTATAATGTTTTATGGTTATGATTATGCTACAAAGGTTACTTCTCAAAGTTTCATACCAATTGAATAAATGGGGTAATAATGCATAAAGGACAAATACGCATGCATTCATTTTTATATAGATAGATTAATTATAATTTGTACATTTTCAATTTAGTTTTTTAAATTAATGGCATAAATTTTGTTTGGGTTAAAAGCAATTTTTGTTTTCAAATTGGGCATTGATAATATATATCTTCCAATAAATTTATGGACTGCTTATAGAATTTTATTTTTTTTAACCTTTTTTATAAACTTACATGGTCATTGCTAGTTATAGTTTTAAGTTTACCTATCTTTTCGAACATCTGCCTATTTTTGAATACATTTTTCTGTCTACCTATATTTTTGATCTATTGTTAATTTTTTTTTAAATGTGTATATTTATGCGCTTATACTTCGTTATGGTATATATGACATTTTTTTTGTCCATTTTATAAATTCTTCAAGTTATGATAAAAGAAAAAAATATATGTGCATTGTACATCATACACAAATTTAAAATTTCCTTGTTAAATCTGTGTAATAAATATAAAGTATATGTAGTAATTTTGTATTGTTTCAGAATCAATATAATATGAGATACTAACATATTAGTTTGAGTACATTAGTTTTTAATACAGGTTTAAGTGTAGGTTCCTCTCATAATTGAAGTATCACTTGAGTAAATTCAAACTCTTATTAAAAATAAAAAATATACAAAGTTAATTTATAAATTTGTAGCGCATATTATTTCAGTTGCAACCATTGATGTAGTCTTTATTTAAAACTTTATGAAATAAACTGTATATAAAAGTTGTTTAAACATTGGGAAATACTATAGTTGTACTAAAATAATATTGTAATTTCTATACTATGATACTAATTAAGAAAATAAATAATGAAAAACTAAAAGCTAATTAAATATTTATAATGAATAAATATCACTGAAATATCAAATATGAGATAAATATGTACTTTTAGATAATATCTATATATATCAGGTGGATAACTATTGATATTTTAGTCAATATTTAAATATTCTTTTAATTAACAGGTAATTATAAATATGTATCATATTTACCAGTTTGATTTTCTAGAAATATTGGTATAATATATTTTTATAAACTAAACTAATAACCAATGAAATGATTTTGATATTTACTTAGGTATAGTTTTGTTTTTTAGATTTTGTGCAAAGTCAAGAATGTATTAGATTTAATATTATGGTATATGCTTTTTTTTATATATATACAAGCTGTCCCACAAAGGACATATACCCATTTCAATATCTCCTAAGATAATAAAGATAATCAAATTATGTTTATTTTTTATATTACATGGATGAAGACTAACAATATTTATATCTGAATTAAATTTTCATCTTTTGGTAAAAAAAATGTTTTATTTTATTATTTTTGAAAAATTTGAAGGTAACCATATTATTGAGTTAAATTTGTTCAAAATGTTGACATTTTTATTTTTTATTTTCATTATATTTGTAATTTTTTAAAATTTAGGGAAAGTACCTATAATTATGCAGCAGGCTGTAACCACCTTCGCTAATTGATTATTATTATCACTCCTAATTAAAAAGAGAAATAAAGTACAGTCAATTTGATTGTATATTTTTTTCTTTATGTATACAAAATAATAAAAAATCACAAATTTAATGGAAATAAAAGTTTATACGTCATCATTTCCAGAAGAATAAACTCTATAAAATGACTATCATAAAATTTGTATCAAAACATAATAAAAAATTAATTTAAATATAAATATTTGTAGTCCTTATATCTGTGAGTAATAATAATAAAAAAAAACAACATGTAATTATTATATTATTTCTTGGGATATTGCAATGGTGTTCGTAGATCACTATATGTGAAAAACTTTTCAACCAGTTATCAGAATACTTGCTTCAATCACTAACTTTAGGGATGGTTTCTGGTACCAATTTTTGTTTTCACTCCAGCCCATGAGTGAAGTAAACTGTTTCGTGCATGTAGACTTATGATTTTATTATTTATTTATGTTATCATGATAAAATATAAAATAATTAAAATCATTTTATCAGGGTTGATTTTAATGTTCCAATGAAGGATGGAAAAATAACAAACAATCAACGTATTGTGGCTGCATTAGATAGTATCAATTATGCTTTGGATAATGGTGCAAAATCATTGGTTCTTATGTCTCACCTTGGACGTCCAGATGGATTACCAAATTCAAAATACTCTTTGAAACCAGTTGCTGAGGAACTCAATAAACTCCTAAACAGGTAAAAAATGTTTTATTTATTGTCATTTAAAATTTTTGTTTTCCTACAATGCTTAACAATTAACTAAATAAAAATGTTTTGATAGAATAAAATGTAAAGTAAATGTTCAACAATATGTATAATTGAACAACTATATTATATGAATTTATATATATAAACTATTTATTAATTTATAAAATCATGAACATTTTAGGGAAATTACATTTTTATCAAACTGTGTTGGGCGTGAAGTTGAAGAAGCCTGCGCAGATCCAACTCCAGGTTCAATAATACTTTTGGAAAATCTTCGATTTCACCTTGAAGAAGAAGGAAAAGGTGTAAATGCTGCTGGTGAAAAAGTTAAGGCTGATAAAGGAGACGTAAAAAAATTTAGAGAATCATTGCAAAAGTTGGGAGATTTATATGTCAATGATGCCTTTGGTACTGCACACAGAGCGCACAGTTCAATGATGGGTGAAGGTTTTGAAAAACGTGCTGCTGGAATTTTGTTAAACAAGGAACTTACATATTTTGCTAAAGCCTTAGATAATCCTGAAAGGTACATTTTCTATCAATATTCTATAATTTTTAATTTAAATAATTATTTAAATTTGAATATAATTGTCAATTTGTAGGCCGTTCTTAGCAATTTTAGGAGGAGCTAAAGTTGCTGATAAGATTCAACTCATTGAAAATCTCTTAGATAAAGTTGATGAAATGATCATTGGAGGCGGTATGGCTTATACTTTCTTAAAAATATCAAAGGGCATGAAAGTAAGTGGGTTTATAAATTAATAATCTTAGAACAAGTTAAAAATGTTAGTAGATGAATTAAATAATAATAATATCTTATATTTCCAAGAATAAGTAACAATGTAATTATTTATTTATTTTAAGAATACTGTAATCTACTGAGTCAAGTGCTTTCTTAAGATCTAGAAAAACATTGACAACATTTCTCTTTATATTTAATTTATTATGAATAAATTTGTTTGAAAAGTGCATCATTTGTAGATAGCTCATTCTTAAAATTAATTTAATTATTACTAAAGAAGTTTTGTTAATTTAAGAATTCAGTAAGCTTACTTTTAATGAATTTCTTTAGTATTTTAGACAGTTAATGTTAGTATTTTTCTTCTGTCCCAAAAGCCAGAGATTAATCGATAGGCCTGTAATTGGAACAGTAATTTAAGTCACCATTCTTATTAATTGATATACTGTATAAAATACATTTTTTTCAACAATAATTATCTTATTTAAAATATTTCTGTAGGGTGTATAGTATACTAAAAAATCCTGTAGTAGAAATGTATATACTTTTTTTAAAAAGACACATTAAATAAATGGTTATCTAATTATTTTATTAAATATCAAATTATCGAGGCCATTAGTAATCCAAGGCTATAGTTTACGTTTTCACTTATTATAATAGCAGGACATTACATTGGAAGATAATACCACCATTTTATTAATTTTTTCATTAAAAATATGATCAAAATGATAAACATTTTTGTTTTCAAGTAAAGCATGCCAATTTTCATGAATTAAATATTAATTTTAGATTGGAGACTCTCTTTATGATGAAGCGGGAGCAAAAATTGTTGAAAAGTTATTAGACAAAGCAAAAGCCCGGGATGTAAAAATTCACTTGCCAGTTGATTTTCTTGCAGCCGATAAGTTTGATGAGAATGCCAATACTTGTTGTGCCACAGTAGAAGAAGGTATTCCTGATGGTTGGATGGGTTTAGACTGTGGACCAGAAACCCAAAAATTATTTGTTGAACCCATCTCCCGTGCTAAAGTTATTGTTTGGAATGGGTGAGGATTGTTATTACTGTTATTAATGTATTTCATATATTATAAGAACAATATTTTGTTGTCAATATAAGTTTACAATATTGTTTTATTTAATTTATTTGTATACAAGTTTCACAAACTACAATAAATGTCAACAATATTTACTAATGAATTGTTTTTTTTTTAGACCTGCTGGAGTATTTGAGTTTGAAAAATTTGCTACTGGTACAAAAGCATTAATGGACACTGTTGTTGAGGCTACTAAAAATGGAACTATAACCATAATCGGTGGAGGTGATACTGCAACTTGTGCTGCTAAATGGGGCACAGAAAGTCTAGTTAGCCATGTAAGCACTGGAGGTGGTGCTAGTCTTGAATTACTTGAAGGTAAGTTTATGTTTAAAACTTGTTTTTAAAATAATACAATATTTAAGGTTAATAAGAATAACTATTTAAATTTATGAAGCAATTGTATATTGTGTTTTAAACAAAAAAAGTATACCAAATATGTAAATGGTATTCAAATAAGAAATTTATAAAAATAATAAATACTATTTAACTCATAATCACCAACTCTGGGCAAAAACTCACTCCAGACAAACTTAAACTGCACATATTAAAACTCCCAATATGTGTCCGTAACTTTTAATACCATGATCTTATTAAATTTTAAAAATAAATATTCAAATACACGTTCAAAAAGATTGAAATTTATTTAAATAATGAATGTTATTAATTTGTGTTCTATAAATATAAAAAAAAAATGTATTTTAATAGAATAAAATTAGTAGGATATATTTATATCTACCACACATGAGTGAATGTGGTATCAAAAATTCAATAATTTGCATATGGTAAAAAAAAAAATCTGTTAACTATTATATTTTATTAGTATATCTACTTTGTGATAGTATAGAGAAATAATATTAAAAAGTGAAGAAAATATGCTAGAAAATATATTATTAATTTTTATATAAACTTTTTTGTGTTTCAGGAAAAGTCTTACCAGGAGTTGCAGCCTTGACTGATGCATAATTATTTTAAATTAAAATTTTTTGAAACTGCAATATTCATGTAATACGTATACGTTTGTGGTTTTTTAACTGTTTTTTTTTTTATATCTACCTTTAGTTGTCAAATTGTTGTGCAATATTTCCTTGTTATCATCAAAGTTCCAATGCCAATTAGTTTTTGAATAATTCATAATTTGTGTTATTACTTAAATTAAACGACATAGATTGGTTATTTCTCATTTTAATATATTAGTTCTGAATTCATAAAATTTTAATATTTCTTATTGTGATCAAGAGTGATATTATGAGGCAAGCTTACCTGCATCTCTTTTTGACATATTTTTAGGACTAAGCAACAATTGCATTAGGGAAACTACAATCTAATCAAACTGAATGGTTTCCCTCTAGAGATATTAGATAAATAATGATTACTAGTCTTTCTTACTCTCCCTAAAAAGAGCTGTATTAAATATCCTTGAAGCTCTGATAGTACATTTCATCCAAAAGAAAATGTTTGTATTAAAACTGGAAAATTATACATATAAATGTATGATATGATCCAGTGATTGAAGTTCATTTACAGCTATGGGATTATAATTTTACAATCATAACTAATGTATTACATTCTGATAGGTATTCATAAAAAGTATTTGAAATTTGTAAAAACTGCAGAAAATTATATTGTAAACAAACAAATATTAATATAAATGTATATTGAGTTCCAGAATTATTTATTTAAATAATTATAAAATAAATGCTACATTAAAAAAATGATATGGTGACCACTAAAATAAAGAAAACTTAAAACTAATTAAATGTCAAAAGTTCTACATAATAAAATTAAAGAAAAACTGATTTATATGGGATAAAATGAGTCCCATATAACTTCTGTCAGAACAACAGGACACAAAGTTATTATACAGAACTGGGCAATCCCAAATTATTCGGTGTCCTATATTGTATGGGATTGTTCCCCTAAATTATAGGATAGTATTGAAATAATAGCCAACAGCTAAAATCAATAATAAATTTATTATAATAAGGTAAAGGAAAGGAAAAATAATATCGGGGATTGAAGTTAGTCACTATTCTCACTTAAAGTAATTTTGTCATTAAAAAGTCATTTAATGCCACTAAGTATTTTCATACAATTTTATAAAAAATTATTACATTAATATTTATTACAAGATATTAGTATCTTATATCAAAGACTGTCATATTTGTAAACAATTGTTTTAGTTATTATTTATCTTTAAATTATTTAATAAAGCCTGGTTGTTAACCTATCTCGTACCATTATACCAATGCTAACTTATCATAATATTATAATTATTACCTATAACTACTACTATTGATGTTAAGTCTATTTTTGTCAATGTTAGTCACTTGTTTTTGTATGGCAGTCACTTTTCTCATTTATTTTCAAACCATTGATCACTTTCATCCCTGTAATATTAAATAATAGAAAATAAAATAAAAATGCTATTGCATATGGTATAAAACAAGGGTAAGTTTCATGAGATTTAAAGCCACATTTGAATGGGTTATACCTATATTATATAAATATGTATGATGTAAAAAATGTATATCTTTTAAAGCACTTGAGCTGAAAATAAATTTAATGATACTTAAAAAATACTCATTCAAACCAAGTTGTAGTTATCGAGAACAATTAAAAACTGGAGAAATGTTTAAGTAATGCCATTACTAAAAACAACAATTAATTTCAATCAAACACTCTTTGTTAACCAAGAAAAACTATTCATAGTTACTATATTTTTGAGATGCAATGCCTTCTACTTTATCTAACCAACTACACTATAAGCAATTTGTAATATTAATGAAAACGAAAATAAATCTGAAACAAATATATATTTTTCACTGATGAAAAATTAATAATACTTATATCAGATCCAAATTTTTTTCACTCTAAATGTGCATCTTCCATTATTACATTTGAAATTCCAACTTCCAAGGTACAGTGCTACGCAGTTGAAATTACTTAAATTTCTAGATAATTTAAATTGCCTCAATTCTCTTCCCAATGATTCACAAACTTTGCTACATACCTACCTCTAGGTCTTGTTCTGTTACATTGACTAAATTGAGAAGTAGTTAATGAATGTATTTACTTTGGAATATCTACCGGGTTTTTAAATTTGTTTAAATGTTTTGTACTTAATCAAATTTCACTTTCATTAAATATATGGTTTAATAATAATGGTTTTCCACTAAACAAAAAAAGAAAGTCTTTTTGGCACGTATTATGTGCTTTATGTTTACTATAGTGAAACTTTTGTTCCTACTTTATTGAATCTAAGAAATACCACAATGTACACGAGTACCTACATAGCTTAATCCTTTTATTGAAGAACTCATTTACCTTCTTGATTATAGTTTGGTTGTTGATAATAAGACTTATAAATATAAAAGATATATTTAATTTCTGATGCACCTGTTATTAGAGCATTTATTAAACAAATCAAAGGTCACTTCACTTATGAGAAAAGTGTAGATGAAGATAATTTTTTGTGAGGAAATATATAAGTTTTCCCGATGAAACAACTTAACTATACGTACTGATAGGTAATTTGAGTCTCATTCAAATGAAGAATACCATATAGGAGTTTCACCATTAATAAAAATCCTGATTTCCAGTTTGTGTCATTTAAACCATTAAACTATATATATATTTGTGTTGTGAATGAAACATTTTGCATTTCATGATTAGAAAGCAACTGTTTTAAATTCTTGTATTTCTATTCGTCTAACCCGTGACCAAATTGAAAGTACCTATTAATAATCAAAATATACTACAGTGTTCAAAGTATGAGCGGTGGTTGTAAAATGGCTAAGTACTTACTGATTTTGCACATGTTCTTCACATGGATACCCATACAAAGCAATTGAGTTAGATAGGTATACCAAATCAATCTTTTATAATAAATTCATGATTGGTAGATTAGATACCTATTGAAAATTTTAATGAGATTATTGAGTTTTATAAAAACAGTCAGCAGTCAAAATGAATGCGCAATCGTGTTGCCTAAAAAATATTTAAGTCGTAAATACCTACTTTTTGTGTTGTTTATGGTCCAAAAAATGTTTCATGTACTTAATGCACACTCTATAATTTATTTAACAGATGATGCTAACGAATATGGAGCTGTAGGCAGTTTTTCAACATTTCCGTTTGAAAACTATATACAACATTTGAAAAAAATTGTGTAATTAAGTTTTTGATCTTTAATGCAATTATGCGATCGTACTAAAGTGTAGGTAATGTACGAATGATAGGTACAAATACTTATGAATTAGTCAACCATTATCCCTTTTTAGATGATATAGTAATTACTATTTTCAATAGCCCGTTGGCCTATCAGATTATATACAATTATTCAATATTCAATACTAATTCCACAAAATATATAATTAACATTTTGCATGCGTTATGCGTACTTACTAAAAAATACAACTGTGTCATTGTATTAATTGTATTAATTTCACTATGCCCCTCAGGTCTCCCCCCATCTGGATTTATTTTGGCCTCAGTAAGTAAAAAAAAAAAAATATTATTAAATAAACTATATTTTTCCAAAGGTAAAAGGTGATGTTTATGTATCTATAAGAAAAGATACTTTTTCCCACTATTTCTTACAAACAAAAAAAAGAGCGGCTACTGTTGTAGGTGAAATGTTGGGAAGGTGGATACATATGGTTATTTCATTTATATCTGTAAGCAACGATAAATTATTGCTTAATAGTACATAATTTGAAGTATCGTAATTATCTTTGCAAGTTTTGTTTAATTTTGATTTCAAAACGCATATTAACAAAAAAAGTCGTCCTATGATTTTAAAAATTTTACGACGTCTAAGTAAGTCAAATATAAATATTATTACCAAGTTTCAAGTCTCTACGTGTATTTATAATCGAATTACAGCTAAAAAGATTTCCGAAAATTAAAATTCCTTAAAAGCTCAAAATGGCTCAAAGGTTTTGGCGATGAAAGAAGCCGTAAGAAAGTAAATCATAAAGGTGTCTTGTGATTTTTCGATTAAATATTTTTTCTGGTAGAAAACGTCGTCCATGTTTTTATAAAATAATGAAATCGTAAAATTGTACGTTTTTCTAAGTTTTTTCCCACTTAAGTGCTTTTATTTAAAAAATGACGTCGAAAATCAAGAAATAACCTTCTTTAAAGTAAAATCTAAACAACTTGAGCTTTCAGAAAAGTTGCTACACGTAAAAATCGGAGCAAGTGTACTTGGAAAAAACGTGTCCACAGACTAAAACTAAGAACAAAGAAAGAAAAAGAAATAAACAGCATTGTAAAGCCAAAATCGCTTGGGAGTTTAAACTGCATTAGTTCCGATATATTTATATATATTGTTTATGATCTAAGATAAAAGATCCTCTAAATTATCTATAAAAGATAAAACTCTATCCATAAAGTTTAGTGGATACTACTTAAAAGTTAAAAACGGTGTTGTACTTTATAGAAATATTCGAATAGTATTTTAAACATTTTTGGTCAACTGCTTAACTGATAAAAATCAATGCCGGCTGAGTTTTCTTTCCATGAAATATCAATGTTTACATTGGCGTAATTTCAATTACAATTAAAGATATATCTTTAATCGTATCTACAACCGAAATACCCTAAATTGATAACATCATCCAAATAATTATTTGTATAAATTACAATAATTCAATAATTCAATACAGTTTTATTAAATGTTTTTATTGTTATACCAAAATTTTACAGTCTTAAAATTTGCGCAAGTGGTGTTTAAACTATTCTAGTAACGGACAATTCTAGTTTGTAAAAGGTGAGTATTATTTTATTGTCTTTCTGTTATTTTACTCTTGGTGATTTAAGTGATTATAGTACAAAACATTTTTGTATGGAATAAAATTATGTAGTAGTTGAATATATTTTCGTGTAGGTATTGAATAGTTTTTAAAGGGTAAATATAATTACAATGTTTAAACATTTTAAAATATATAATTAAAAAATTGTCAAGATTATGATAACAAAAAGTATTATTTGTATTAGTATTAGCATTTATTATAAAATAGACAATTAACGGTATTAAATGGTAGATACATACATTTTGTTTTTAATATTTGTATATTATTACTACAATAGGTTTCAAATAAGTATATATCATGTCTGAGAATGTGGAAGTTCAAATTGAAGACCAAGAATTCCAATTGGAACCGGATAATGAATTAAGGTTTGAAGTTGAAAACAAAAATGAAACTGTTGTGTTAGAAGTAAGAAATAATTTATTTAATTTATTTAATGCTAAATAGATGAAAAACATTTGTATGTATTAAAAGTGGTTTTATTTGTTTGTGTAATTTTGAACACTAAATTGCCATACCATACCAAAAACAGATACTTAGTTTTTTTTTGTTTATTTGAATAAAAAAAAATTACGATTATTGAAAAGTAATACATACAATTTGATGTTTAAGATTTAAATAAGTAATTTTAAAGTTGAACTGAGAGACATAGAAAAGCTATTTGCATTTTTATTATAATAATAGTGTTTTATTTTATATTTTATAGTTAAAAACTGGACTCGCAGAAATTTTTGGTACAGAGATGGTGAAGGGTAAATCCTATACATTTTATTACGGAGCCAAAATTGCAGTATTCACTTGGCAAGGGTGTATGTTAAAATTACGCGGGAAAAAAGGAATTAGTTATATATCTAAAGAGACGCCGATGGTAAAACTATTAATATTTTGAGTATGATTAAATAATACATTTTATGAATGGTTTTTAAAAGCTGTTTATAGTTTATTATAGTTCATATATATTAATTTGGGATTTATATAGGTAAGTCCCTAAAAACCCAATATTTCCCTATGGTGCTCAATAGGGGATTATGGATAGGTTATGTTTGACTATTATATGGCCTCTGACTGTGCAGTTAGAACGAGTTCATTGAGTTTTCCTTGCATTCACAACTTATATGTTTGATATATACATAAGCCATGAAGTCCAGGTGCTAGACTACCTGGGCTTGTGTATGTTAACTGATAGACACCTTAAACCAAACTAGATTTTTTTTTAAACTACTTCATGGAGTAGCTAACAGTCCTACAATGTTAGCTGACGTCAATTTTCATGTCCTTATGTGTACATCCTGTTTTCGAGTTCTCTTTCACTCATCATTGCATCAAATAAATTTTGGTAAGAAACAACACAGGATGTCTTGAGCAGCAAACCTTAGTGTCTAATTTACGTTTTTGTAATATTGTATACCTAATTAATTTTTGTTTATTATTGACCAAAATTAAAAATAAAACACTGCAACTCCCCCAATTAACTGGCTATATGTACCGCTAACCAGGATCTATAATTTGTTAAGCTTCCTTGTAGCCATTATGCAGTCTAGTATTATAGTAGTCTGTAGTTTAGTTTTAGTAATCTATGCCATTTATTTATATCATATAAATCCAATAAATAAATATAGAAATAAAATTGAATAATAATAGTTTGATATTTTGATACTTTACTACCTACAGAGTTTACATAAAATCTAATATTATACATAATATATATGTATATAGGTATAGATTTAAAAAGTAATGAGATGACATGGACTTTTAACAACTTCAAAATTGCTACATTATATAACTAAAATCCAAAGAAAAAGCTGGTATAGTAGAGGGATTGAAAGTAAATAGTTACAACTTAAAACTACGAGCATTTAATTGGGCATGGGGTGTATGTGGGTACAGATATGAATATTAAACCTTTTAGTTTAATAAAATTTCATCATATATTTTAAATTGAAAAACATTTTACTTTAATAGTAGGGTAGAATTTACTAGTTAGCTTAGTTGAATTTCTATGTTTAACATAATATTATTTGTTATTTATGCCTGATTACTGTTGTATAGAAAATATTGTAAATATATTAAAAATTGTAAGCATTTATGTTTTTAAATACTACAAAATAGTATTCAATTTACATGTTTAATGTTAATTATTTTAATTTTCAGATGTTTTATTTGAATTGTCATGCGTCATTGGAACAACTGCGAGTAAAATCAGAAAAGGAAAATCTTCGTGGTCCTGTTACAATGGTAGTTGGGCCAACTGATGTCGGTAAATCTACTCTATGTAGAATACTACTCAATTATAGTGCAAGAATGAATTCTCTTGGTCGTAGACCCATTTATGTTGATTTAGATCCTGGTCAGGGACACATAGCAGTTCCAGGAACAATTGGTATGTAAATAATATTGTTTAATGATCAAAAATTATTATATTTGACAGTAAACATATTAATATAAAATGTTTATTAGGTGCAGTTATGATTGAAAGGCCAGCTGAAGTGGAAGAAAGTTTTTCTCAAGTAGCACCATTAGTTTATCAATTTGGACGTACAAACATGAGTAATAATTCAACTTTGTACAACACTTTAGTATCTAGGATGGCAGAGGTTATTCATCAGCGAATGGATGAAAATCCTAGAAGTAATTTTGCTCTACATATTTAGTTTTAAGTATAAATAAATACATTTATTTGTAAATATAACATTACATTAAAATAATAATAATAATAATAATAATAATAACAATTACTAAAACTAAAGCGATGACAGCAATGTAAATTAAAGATTGTACAAGACAATTGTTACTAAATCACTTCTCAAAAAGTAAAAATATTAATGTTATTAAAAAAATGTCTGATAGTATTAATCAAATTATTAATTTTAATTTTATACTATTAACATGATAGTTGATGATGAATAGTTTTATAATCAGTTTATAATTTTAGAGCTATCATTATTAATTAATGAGTGAATTTTATTATTAGAGTTTTTAGGCGCATTATTTGTTATCTATTTAATTTATTTTCAAAGATTTTTAATATGTTCATTATTATTAAATATTTTAAGTTTATATTAATTAATTTTAACTCTCTTGATTACAATGTTTACTAAGTGCTATAATGCTACATGTTATAATTAGAAATTTGATTTATATTAGATTCATTTTTTAAATTCATGATCATACATTTTTTTTCGTGTTTAATAGAAACAATAATACCTCTAGTAATCCATAGTTTAAGTTTATAGTTAATATAATACAATTTTCTTGATATTTTTTTGAAAATCTTATAACTCAATAATATTTATGAAATTAGTAATATTGTTTTTAATGTTATTATAACTTAAAATATTATTCCAATTAAGGTTATCTAATATTTAAATTTATTTTATCAAAATCATTTAATGTTACTATTATTATTCAGAGCTAAATATTCTGTATTTAAGTTACTAGATAAAATTGTACATAAGTGGTGAGTAATAGAAGAAAGTAAAACTGTAGAATTAACATTAAAATGTTTATTATGTATTGTGTACTTCAGAAAAAATAGTAGTCAGTAATTAAGTGAATTGATAGTTAATCATTAGGCCAGAGGTTAGCAACCTTTTTTGACTCATGGCACCCTTAATTATTTTCTAAAAATCCGAAGGCACCATATGCCTTATACTCTATACTGAATACACAGGTGGTAAAGTAATAACTTTATAACAGTCCACGTCGAAGTGATAGCAATTGAACCAGTATGAAAATTAAAATAGATCAAACATCACAGTTTTACTATGTACAATTTATATGTATTATATAATTAATATATTAAATTATATTGTATATAATTAATTATACATATTAGGTTTTATACTATAGAGTATAGCACTATAATCTATTTTATTACTCACAGTGCTATATTTTTCATGAAGTCATTTAAAAAAAAAAAATATATTGTGAATAATTTTGTGGCACTCTAAATTTAAGTTTGCGGCACCCTGGTTGGGAACCTCTGCATTAGGCATTTGTAACACAATGTATAATTATTATTCAAATGATTATTATTTTTATAAATCTTTATGATTAGCTTAAAAATACAAATAATAAAAAAAAAAAAAAAACATTTATCATACAGCATGATTTATTAAAATCATTAACTGATTTGTATCATAATCTACTCTAAGAATCATTTTGTGAAACATATTCATTGTTTTAATAATAGTGATTGTTGAATATTGTATTTTATTTACTATTTTTTCATTTTATTTTTTTTGCAGTAAATTCTTCTGGAATAATTATCAACACATGTGGTTGGGTTAAAGGCAAAGGTTACCAACATTTGACTCATATTGCACTTGCTTTTGAAGTAGATGTTATTCTTGTACTTGACCAAGAACGTTTGTATAATGAACTAGTGAGAGATATGCCAGAGTTTGTGAAAGTTGTTCTTTTACCAAAAAGTGGCGGCGTAAGTAACTATTTTAAGAATTTTAATTTTCAAATTAGCAAACAAATGTAGTATAAATAATTCTAACCTACTCTGAAAGATATAGTTACTTATATAAATATTATTAAAAAAATAAACAACAGGGTATTTAGTTTTAAAGAATCATTGCTGTCAAATATTTAAATTCATATTTTTAACCATATGCTATATATTTGTAATTTTTCCTTGAATTTTCTGCTAAGGAAATTATGTAATTACATTGTTAATGTATTGTATTATAAATTATAATGAAATGTATTTTTTTATATTTAGGTAGTTGTAAGGAATAATAAGTTTAGATCTGATGGCCGAGAAGCTCGTATTCGCGAATACTTTTATGGTACTCCTAAAAATGTATTACATCCACACACTTGTGAAATAAGGTATACCGACATAAAAGTTTATAGAATCGGAGCACCACACATTCCTAATACATTGATGCCGTTAGATATGCAAAAAACTGATTTAGAAAAAAAACTTGAACCCGTAACACCAGGTAAATATCTAAATACTTTAAAGATGATGTTATTTTAATGTTTATATTAAATTTTTTAGGGCCAAATATGTTGCACCATGTGTTAGCTTTGAGTTTTGCTACGTCTATTGAAGAAGATGTTGTTAGGACCAGTGTGGCTGGTTTTGTTTGCGTGTAAGTATAATTCATTGTAAATAATATTTATTAAGGAGATTTGTCACCTGATATTTATTTTATGTGGCTATTTTATGTGTATTATAACAACAAAGGCATTCACACTCCCATAATGGGAGTCTCTCTGATTAAATTTAGAGTAAAGAAACCTATTATACATTTTATAAAGTAGAATAAGTATTGTTAACGCTTCTTTGAATGATTTTTCGATATTTTATTTACTATATAAATCTATTTAGAACCATTTATAATCCCTTATAAATTATAAATGGTTAAAACGAAAAGAAATTAAGTTAAATCTTTTTTGATAGAAATAAACATTATTTAAAAAACCTCTAGTAATTTTAACCGTTGATAACTTCTAATGATGATAATATTAAAAAACGTCATTCGGTCAAAGCATATATGTATCATTGATCCATTTGCCCTAAATTCATCCGCAATCATGGATGTGTAGAATGCCTTTTTTTTTAACTATAACTTGGAGAGGGGTGGTGAAAACAAATATCATTATGAGAAATCTTAAGAAATTATAAGAAATATTGGATAAATAATAATAATAATAACGTGTATTTATTTTTATTAGAACAAATGTTGATCAATCTCGACAAATGTTAACATTATTATCACCTCAACCAAAGCCTCTACCAGAAACAATATATCTCCTATCAGAAGTACAGTTTATGGACAGCAATTCTTAAAGTGTAAAGCTGATGTTTTATGTATAAAATAACATTGTGAATAATAGGTTTTTTTTATATGTCTGTATAAATATTTCTTTCATGACAACTATCCTTGAATAGAGATAAGTATTAAATAAATATAATGTTCATGATTTATGTAAAATGTGGGTTGTTATTATTTTTAAAGACCTGTAATATTATGAATATTATTACATCTACATTATAAAATTGTCTATTAATATTTGTGTTGATATGCTTAATGTTTTTACAAAACAGTCATACTTATTATTAATGCCTCGCCAATCGTGAATGTATTAGTGTTATAGAAAATATCTTTGGTATTGTAGATAAGCAAAACAAAAAAATAAATTATAATAGGGAGGAGTATTGCAATGGAAAGCATTAATTACCCTCATTTATTTGAAGAAATATGAAATATAAATTAAATTATTACCATATACAGTGAAACCTCCCTTAACGGACACCTCTAAATAGCAGATGTTTTTTCGGGGACGGATTATTGAATTTATTTATTTGTTAAAAAACGTGTTTTCCTCTAAATAGCGGACAAAATTTTGGCGACCGAGACTGTCCGCTATTCAGAGGTTTCACTGTATATTGTGGTTATTGCCTTTAAAATTTATTAGGCTTAAAAAAAAAGAATCATCAATCTCATTATTGATTAGTTTGAAGATAAAATTGCTGTTGTAATTCTATGTGCTTTTAAAGATTTCTAGATTATTATCATATCCAGTTTTCACATATATTAGATTTAATATTTCCAAGTTGACCATTGTAGCCAATAATATTATTTTCCCAAATTAATGGCACATACTTTAGTAATGAGCGGACAAGTGAGGTATAAAGGCAAAAGGGTTGTTGGATTTGGAGCAGTTTTGTTTAATCGTTATCAAAACCAAACAATGTTTTATTTTAGAATTCTAATATATGCAAGTTATACAATGTATTTGTTAAATTTCATTAATGAACGTAGTGAATAAAATTATGTTCTTTAATAAGTTACAAATCGGTAATTTGTGAGTCGTATTAGTAACTTGTTTATGTTACTCCTCACTCGGTAACCAAAATTTTCTGGCAATGTTCGATTTTCGCATTAGAGATTAGGTGGGACGCGCGAACGCGATCCCCGCTACCAAAAATTACGCGTCCGAGGTATTCGCATAAGGAATACTCGCAGGGGTCAACCAGCCCGATGTGCAATGGGCCAGTCTCGTCCTGGAGGAACCGCCTCGTTGATCACGGTTAACCTCGACGCCAAGTAAGTATGCCGCGCGTCTGTACCTGCGGCCTACTTATGGCCACAAAGTTCTGCCGGTCCGTTGCAGAACAGTCCAATGGCATAGTCGCTCCAAGACGTATAGCTCGACCTTCTCGACGTATGGATGCGACAGCCATCCGTGAACGACGCCCGCTCATTAGCCTCCCCATATTAGCCGAGCTTTTTACGCCACCCGTAACATCCGGGACATAAAGGACCGTCGACCATCCGAATAGCAAAACGGGTTCGCCCGTCAGAGCCATCTACCGGCCACCGCGTTGCGGCGCTTTGTCGCTGCCGGTATGAGATCCGACACGGCGAACGTAGCGCACATTCTGTTCGTTTTCACATACTGACTGTTTTCGCTAAGTCGGCGGAAATTATTATAATAATGATATTAGTGAAAGGTTCGGGTTGTATAATCGGCCAGACACTGTAACAACATTATTTTATTGTCGTTTCTAGAAATAATAATTATTTAAAAAAATAATATCACTGTGCAAGTAACGTTACGTAGGTATTCTGCGAGATATTCTCGCTCGACACGGTTTTAATTTTTCTGTATTTAGTCGAATTCGGTGTCGCATCGTTTTCGTTCAGTTGAATGTTGATGAATAGAAAAAAACTGTCTGAGAATTTCATTAAGTACGTCAATACTCCACGTCGTATATTTCATTAAGTACGATAAAATGATATGAGTAATATTCTTGTTAAAAGTTAATCACGATAGATAATATCTTCCGCGGTCTCGATTATAGATTTCTCCGGAATTTGCCGCTAGATAGCCGCACCGTATACACACCATGGACATTTCGGTGCGATGCAATAATTATCATTGCGACAAATCGTTTGGTAGGTATAATAACATTGTTTTCGTGTATTTATTACGAAATCCTCATGATCAATATCGTGCACATTGTGGTAAAAATAATATCATTTTCGGAACGTAAACCGCACCCGACGAAAACGACAAATTTGTCGATCGTGGAAAACAATTATAAACGTTAAACATAATAATATAAAAATTTGAAACAATATACTAACGTATATTAAGTGAGTTTCGTTTTTTTCTCTTCGTGAACGATCCACATGACAGTGGCGGTACCCTCGGTGCGAATGTTTTTCACAGGATAAACGGCGAGAGAAAACAGCCGAACGCAATATTATGTCGTTGGAACTTGGCCGCGTGACGGCAGTGCTGGTGACGGCCGCGCGTCGGCGTCTGGCCACCGGATGGCGCGCCCGTCGGTATTCTTTAGGAGCCGGCCGACTGTTGACGGTCCGCACGGTCGAATTGGGATTTCGGCTCGGCAAAAAGCTTTCGTCCCGGATTTCCGGACCCGGGGCCGAGCGGCCGGACGTCTTGGTCCACGTACCGAGACCCGGAGATGGCCGACCGGTACGGAAACAAGCCGGTAGCCGACGGACGGGCGACAACAGTCGACCAGACTCCGGATAGCATATAACGGCTCTCGACACAGCCGATCGGCATACTTACCTGGCGTGGAGGTCAACCGTGATCAACTAGGCGGTTCCTCCAGGGCGAGGCCCGGTCATTGCACACCGACTGGGTTGACCCCTGCGAGTATCCCTAATGTGGATACCTCGGACGCATAATTTTTGGTAGCTGGGACTGCGTTCGCGCCGTCCCTTACAAACTCTTAAAGGATAATTTTCCCTCTCACACCCGTAATGTGGTTAGTGTGATGAATTCGTGGTTGTGCGCGTACATCAGCGATCCTTCAACGTTACGTCGTTTGTTGAACACCACTGAATTCTCGTTTTCCGTTAAGTTCTAAAACCAACGAGATAACAGTTTCGTTATCAGTCAACTGAGCTGTGATTTCTAAACGTTTCAGGTTGTAAAATCCCCAGTGTTTTTTGATTCATATAAATTTTATCAATTATACCGTTCATGTGATTACCACTAATGTAGTACCGTATTCACATTAAATCAATAATTGTGTAACGTGTACAAATATTGTTTCACAGTTATAGACATTATTCCATACTCTCGAAAAAATAAATTCAAAGAACACTCGTTATATATTAAAATAAATTACTAAATTCCGAGATACACATGACGTTCTTACGTCATAATCATTAATGCCTTCAATCTATTTTGTATGTATGCATCACAATACTTTGTTTTCATTGTCTGCTATAACTTGAAAGAAAAAACAAATCATAATAGAATTAATTGTTATTCGCGTCAAGAAATAATGTCATTTCGTGTTACTGATCGGTTTTTAACAATTTGTTAAATAGTTATCGTGTAGGTAACTTAAATGAAATTAAAAAAATTAAGTAAAAATAGGCTAATATAGTAAAATGATATGAATTAAACCCAAAATACTGTTTACAAATTGATAGTGAAATTGTTATTAATATACGTAACAACTTTATTGAGCGGACCGCCCTCCTTGTGGGTTGCCAGAAGACACAGTATACACATTCAATATTGATATACATAGCACTGTTATGCAATTATAAAATTATAGTAAATAATTGTATAGATATAATTACAATTATAAGATTATAGTAAATAATTATATAGATATAATTACAATTATTATAAAAAGATAAAATATCTACTAGGTAGAATTGATGAAGATTTGAAAAAAAAAAAAAGAGAGAGAATACGGATTTTATATATAATAGAAAAATTGATAAAGAAAAAGATAAAAAGAAAATATTACAATTTATTGCATAATATGTGCCAGAGATTGGTAGTCTAAACGAATATAAGTGATAGTTTATAATATTGAGTGTATCTATCAGAATAGACAAAAACATATTTCCACTAGATCGGAGATGTTAAATCCATGGGACTTGAAAGAATTTCTCAGAAAACAAGATGCGGTTCCTCGGGCACCGAATCATAAACCCACGACATCCCATTTGTCAACGCTGAGTTGGTTCTTCAGTGGGAGGACACATGGTTGGTAGATCGCCCTCTTTTCCTCGTCCACTGTTGTGTCCTGCAGGGAGTAATTTATTTCCCAACGAATTGTTGGGTCTAAGACGAGTCCACGGTTTTTGGATATGAACGTTCAGGATCGTCTCGTTTTCGACATCTTGTCTCTTCTGCATTCCTTTTGTCCAACTCTTTACGCGCCGCAATGGTCCAAACAATTTAATAGGAGGTCCAACACGATTAATAAACGCTTATGATGCTCAGGTGTTAGATCGTTTCTTTTGTAACGTGTTCTGATGTTGTTCATGGAGCCGATCTAAAATGATCTTGTGCGTTTGGATGAAGATTTTGTTAAAAGTAATTATAGGTATTTTTGAGGAAGTTTTTAAGTTCTTAAAATTCTCGAATTGTAGATTGTAGATTTTTCATCTAAATGAAACTTTGTTGCCAATACTTAAACGTTACGTTCGTCACCATATTGAATGTCAATATTATTTGGCTAGTAAGTTATGGGAATCTAATTCGTAATCACGTTTAACAATCATTTTGTAACCGTAGTTTTATATCAAATATCAAAATAAAAGGTACACTATTAATGCAACAGATGGCGCTGTATATTTCGTTTTGTACGATTATAAAATAATATTATTTTGTATCATTACTCTATGATGCACGAGGCACGACTCACGGTTTAATTGAAAATGGATTGTTTTTGTGTAGGAATGGAAAAACCTCAGTGTGGGGTATTTAAAAAAAAAAAATGAATAGTATCAGTTTTTCATTATTTTAGATTATGAGCGGACCGAGGAATGTATTGGTTTTACAATGATGTTTATTTTTTAATTTTTATTACTATTATTTTTTCTGTGAACAATTTTTCTGTCTACCAGCAATTCTGCTCCATTTTTCAAGTGTAGCACTTTTTCTGAAAGAATATCTAACTGGAGTATTACTTTAAGGAGATCATTTTTTGATTTTCCTAGAAGTTTTCATAATAAATGAGAAAAACGAGAAAATTTAAAAAATGTATTATTTTCAAGTCTAAATATTATTTCTAAACGATTACCTATGAAAAAGGATTTGTCGAGAAGAAAAAACGCATTTTAGCATAAATAATTTAGCTTCTTGCGCTGAAAATATAAAATGCATAATTTATTATTTATGAGTAGATTCGGGCTATCAATTATTATCTATTGCATATCTGTTTATAGGCAATAGGGATGAATTGAGAGTTAATATTATTTATTTATCTACTATTTGGAATTTTGAAATGAAAAGGGGAGTTATTACCCACTCTCAAACTATACCCCTGTGGATGTAAAAAATTAAATATTTCTTTCAATCAAACATTTTTCCAACGAAATAGATCGTTTTGATATTGGCCGAACAGAACATAATATTATTGAAAAACTTTTGATAATAAATTCGTTAATAACATTCTTTGAGTTCTTGTAATATTAAAATCGCACAGATAGGAATGTACCAAAATATGCGTAAGAGGATCAGAAAAAAAAAAAAAAACCAATAAACTCGTCAAACATGATTAATATGGTTTTAATTACGTCTGGACAAGTCATAGACAGGCGATATTTGATAGTATGGTTATTATTTTTTAATGCTGTTGACTTTAAACGGGTAGACATCGTTAGCATGATTTGTTTGACGTGTTCCATTGTTCTAACTGGTAATTATTTGCCCGAGTGCCATTCGTGTAGTATATAATAATGTGAAAACATTACATATAAGAGTATAATAGAAATGTAATAGGTAAGCAGGTACATTACTTAACTCGAAGTAGATATTCGTATTTTCTATATTTTTTTCTTTTTAGATTCTGAGTGATGAGTGTATAGCGAGAAATGTAATGGTTTTACTTCGATGCGCTTTTCCAGACTCTTTATTATTTTTTGTTTTGTCTATTCTATGAATAGACATTTATCTATGAAATATTGCTCTGATTGAAAACTTTATATAGGAACATTCTTGTAGCATTTTGGGTCTAGTTGGTGCATCTAGGAAGTCGTTTTTTGATTCATCTTGTATTTATAACAATAACGGTGGGGGGGAGGGGTAGTCGTAAAGACGGTATTACTTACGCAACAACGGTTTCTGTTATTTTCAATAATATTTTTTAACCTATTGTAATTCAATTAATAACAATCGTAAAGACTTGAAACTTTCACCGAATAATTATATTATCATTTTATGGACGTGGTATAAATTTCGAAATATTCGAGTTTTTTGAGTTGTTTTAAATTACTGTAGTTTTTGTTTGGTCACACGGTTATGATGTGAAGATAATTGTTTTGTTAAAAATGCTCATTTGGTACAGTAAAAGTTATTCTTATGGAAATAAAAAAAAAACCAAAAAATCATTTATTATTATAATGATTTTTCTTTTTATAGATGTTTGAAGTACGAATTTCGATGAAAATTTTAAAAATCACATTTTAATTTACGTATACGTTTTACTAATTTATGAGAATGTAATTTTTGTAAAAATTGATCAACAATTTGAAATGGAAACACGGACATTTGTAATTTATTTTGTAGTTAAAAATTAATCTTTATTTTCAATTTAAGTTTATCAAAACATGTTTGACCGAACGCAAAATAGTTTTTAGTTGGCAATGATTTATCGTAGCGTACAGTAAAATAATAACTATAAAGTACCACATAATAAATATCCTACGCTTCCAATATGCCACCTACAACATTGGCGCATCCATGCTGAGGTGTCTTCAGGTCAATTCCACTGAGGGGAGGGATATTAAAATATTTGACATTTTTTTTGTTTTTGTGTTAAGTTTATTTCATTTTTTTCCTATACAATGTTATAATATTGTAGTAATGAATGAGAACTGTAGAACTGAGAATGAGTACTCTATGAGAAATAAATATATTCTATGTTTAGGTAGCTATAATACGTGTATATTTGAAAAACTGTCCATCTCTGATTACAAACAGTTTATTTTACGTTTTGAAAAATCATGAACTATCGATTTATTATGGCCTTTTCGAAATGACTGGTGAAATATAGTCTATGCAATTTTTTTTCGCCAAGCGATGAATGATTAAACGTGTCGATTTTACTATATTGCCGACATAAAGCACCTTCGAAGTTCGAGTAAACATTGTATAAATGGGAATGCCATCACAATATTGACATTTCGATATTTGTACAAATAATTTTTTAATTTTTACAAATTACCTATACGATTGTACGCTCCGTTTTAAGAGGACGGCACACCTGCATTTATATACACTGTCTCAGTTCAACCAACGAGCGTATGGCAAGATAACGTTACCTGGAACTACATAAATAACTGTGACGTTAAGATTGAAACTAGAATTTTATAAACATAAATAACAAAAGAGCTGATACTGCTGACGGGTGTGCCACTGTTATAGGTAGAGAAGTGAAAACTGGAAAGGTTTAGGATACAACGACGAGTGACTTAACTTTTACCTGTACGTAATCATAAATCATTGTTATCGAAAAACGATTCTGAACAAAGTTCGGTTAAACATGCTTGGTTGAAATTATGTCATTTTTATGATTTTCGTTAAAATTTGAACACTGTTTTACTATTAAGTACAATACAAGGTAAAACTAGCTTCTAGAAAAGATACTACATTTAAAGAGAAAAATGGAAACAAATCACAATCGCAGTAAACTCAATATACTCTTCGCAAAGCCCAGAATCTAAAATTTAATTTGGAGACTATTTTCTGGGGAAATGAACCTTCACGTATGTTGCTGCTATTCTACAAAATAATTCAAAACAAAAAATTACAGACGTTTTTCTTATTATATTGATGATC